CATACGTCATCGCTACAAATCATGGCGCGTCACCCACAGCATTAATATCTGAAGCTCCTCCTATGGTCCGGATAACAGTGGTGTTATTTTTACGGGAGCAATACGTAGGGTGACCGAATCAGTCCCATCAATGTCTTTATCACCAAAATTATCATCTTTCCATTATCGTTATCTGTGTTTCATAATCTCCAACATAATCATCAAGGATAACTAGCTAAGTAGATGATTTAAGGAACCCGAAGGGTCATCACCGAACTAACCAAAGCCCCCTGAGCCAATTATCACGCATGTTAGAGGTCATGGGTTTGAATATCGACCCTTAGTCCAGGGCACACGTCGTTTTACGGGAAGTCCAAAATAGGGAAAAAACTGAGCATCAGATATATTTATTTATTTGCTTTTGGTGATATCATTTGTAACAGTAATTCAGTTACAACAAAAAGTGGACCCAAGTGGTTTAGACCGTTACTGATTCAGTTTATAGAGTACTAAGGCTTCACTGTTTGTTGTTGTCACAAACAACACAAGAAGACGCAGAGAATGCATGAGGAAATTCTAAGTATTCTAATAAAGATCTGTACTTGAAAATCATGTTTGTTATGAGACTAAACCGAAGACATAAATACTTTACACAATTCCAAGTTACGGAACATGAAACCACGTGATAAAAGTAGTTACCATTTTACATGAAACATTTATGTATAACAGTTTTTATAAAGGCAAAGATGGAATAAGTAATCCACGTTGCAGTACTGCGTCATTTATTAGCTTTATTCGTGGAAACACAATAGCCTTATTTCTCTTTCCACTTCAGCTTTAATTCATCAAGACCTCCGCCTTTTATTACCTCCTGTCCTCGAACATCTGATAATGCCATTTCTTATGTGCACCACCAGGAAGTAGAAGTAGAAGAAGAAGAAGAAGAAGAAGACGGTGTCGTTTTAATCAGTCAAGATTCCGACCGCCTCCACCCCCAACTGCTCCAACCCATACGGTGAGAAGTAATCGAAGTCCTTCGGCTGTTTCCCAGTTTTCATTCCTTTTGGGATGACAACCTATGGTAAAGAGCAGCGGCGGCTAGTAATTTTCGAGAATACTATGGAATAGTTTTTCGGCTCATTAGACATCCTTCCAGTCTGAATTCTTTATTTTTCTAAAAACATCAGTAAAAATATCTTAAAGGCAAGAGCCCGAGTGGAAAATAGAAAGATAATATTAAAAGGTATCTTAAAATTGGGGTATAAATGACAGTTCTACACTAGCCTGATCAAATATTTGACTGTCAGGAATTTCTGTGTGAGCTACATCGAGATAACTGGTGCCTTGGAGTTGCTCTCAATTTATTTTCCGACTGTAACGTCCATGAATTTCCATTATTTTCCTCACATCCTTAATGAGAATGCTAGAATTACTTACTCGTTTACTATTACCTTGCCCTTGTCATTCCACGCTAAATAGGCTAACGTTTGGAATTGAAACGATATCGTTAAATAACCAGGGTATTAGATTTCGGGAGGTTACTCTTTTTGAACTTTGCCAGATTATTTGGCTTTCTGGCTATCTTGAACGTTTAAATATTTGGGAGTGTGGAACTTGTGATTTCTCTTTTTTCCACGGCGTCGATTTTGGGCTCCGCTCAAGAATTCTGTTCAGTGGGGCCGACAGTTGAATCCGTGGTGATAAAGTGGCCTAGTACTAAAGCTGACAACTCATACACAATTACTGTCATATAGTGCTTTGAGATCACGCACCGTACACATTTCTATGGCATTGTGTACGGATATAAAAATAGACATTACTGAGATGGCTGTCTTCTGGGATACAGCGCCGTGTAGTCTGGTAGAAATTTACTAACTTTTCAGAGCTACTTTCTGCCTCCATCATCAGGGCGATATAAAGAACTCATCGCCCTGATGATGGAGGCAAGAAGTACCTCTGAAACTTTGGTAAACTTCTACCAGACTGCACGGCGCTGTAACCCACGAGACAGCCATCTTCGGACTCACCGCCGTGAAAACCTCAGATCCTTGTTTCTGCAGTGCGTATGGAAGTCAATGTTATTGTTTTATGGAGCGATACTTTACTCGTATTCGGAACACGTCGTACCACTTGGCGGTGGGTCATGCATTGATAGTTGCGTTCAGCTTTATGTAGTCTTGATAGAATCGCTGTCTTCTTGGTTGTTGTGCCATGTAGTCTCCTTTTGTCGTTGAATCATTCGATGCAGAGGGTTTCTACATTTTTACTCAGACCTGCTGCAAGTCTCCTTGTTTTGACGTTGCAACTATCACAAAAAATTCTGGCATTACAGACCAACAAGACAGGAGCCTTGTTTAAGCGGTGCGCGACCAACCAAATAGTCAGATACATACGCACATAGTACATAAAAAGACAATATGCATAGTAAATAAATACTGTACATACGTGCACAGTTCTCTTAAACCCCGCGCCATGTCAGTGTCTAATAACATTACGCTCATGCCCTTTATCCCGGGTCCTCCCGAAAGTTTCCTAGGGATACGCAAGGAGCCTGGAAATCGTTTGCGTCTCGTTTCTGCTGTACCAGCCGCCGCCCGAAGCGAGAGGAAGGACAAACTTGTGATTAGGTCCGGGGTGCTATCACGGAGTGAGGTAACCGCTGGGTTCCACCCCTCCAGGGGAAGGGGGGGGCAGTCTTAATTAAATCCCTCAAAGAGTAGTAGAGAAGGAAGGGGAAACTGAGTAGAGGGACGGGCCATTTCGGAGGAAATGTTAGCCATCATGCTAAGACTTAGAACTAATCTAATTGATTGACGGCTGGCTTCCTAGACATCGGAACAACTTCGCAGTCACAAACTTGTCTTAGATACTAATACTTAGTTGGTTCCAGTGGCAGTAAGGCAACACGTCCGAGGGTTTAATATGTAGCAGCTTGCTTGACGAATTTTATCTGAATAAATTGTGACAGGTAATTAATCCAACTTCGTGGACTAGTATTTTAAAAAGTTTAAATCCCTTGATCTGGTTAAGAAATCTTCATATTCACCGCTGTGAAAACCTCAAATCTTACAAGAAATGACTTGTGTTTATGAACCCCCAAAGTTCATAATCGTGTTCTCATAAATCTGCCTTATTCAGGTGATACAACTCGGCACGTTAGAGTTTTCTTTCTTTAAGGTTCATTATATTACATAATATTATTCTGCATCTGTTTGTAGGTCTTCCAAGTGACCTGTTACGTTTAGATTCTCGAACGAAAGTTGCATACACATTTTTAACTTGCAAATTTGTGCTACATGTCCGGCATACATCACCATATACTTTTTATTTAATCTCCCGAAAAGTAACATCGATATGAAGTTTTTAATATGCGGAATATAAATCGTAATTTTATTGAAACGATTTGCTTCCATTCTATTATAACAGCTATTTCCTGTAAAATAACGCTTTCAAATAAATACATGTTCGGATAAAGGGCTGTAATGGATCTTGGTTGTGTTTAATCTTAAGAATACTGGTTTTCCCTTCCAGTTAGACCACAAGCAGGTCACAAAGCAAAGTCAGTCCAACTTCCTTCGTCCTGGGTGGTAGAAAGGATCGAGGCAAGAGAATGGGATAGTCTTGAAGATTAAGGACAGCTGAAGCTTTGTTCCGGCGAGGTAATCCTGGTAATTTAAGCTGTAGGATCTGGTTAGTTGACTCGGGATACAACAGGGGCTTGTCACTGGATGTGACGTCGCGACTCTCTTGTTGGTGAGAGAGTATACACAAGTTGATAAAAAGCGTCCTTTATCTCAAAAGACGTCAAAGTTTGTCAGTAGCTGATAAAATGCTTTCCGCTGAATCTCTGACCCACTCATTTTTGGTATCCGAATGGCATATGGTGTATCAATGAACTCATACGATTATACAAGAAAAATGTTAAATGCCTTCGAATTTCTAGAACAATTAGTTTATCGGATGAGAATATTAAATAGCTGATAATATTTTATTTTCAAAGTCATTACTAATAGAATTATATATTTTTATTTTAATAATAGCGGTAATAAAAATATGTTCCTGGTCGTAATATTTCCAGCTATTTATATTAAATGGACGTCAGTAGTCAACTTCATGCACCAAGGGTTCTGTCCCGAGGGAAAGCCCCTGGTGTCAATAGAACACGCTGCTCTGTTGTCCTCAGAGTCGTTCTGTTTGTAGTGAGGAGAAAACTCCTTATCCTGATCGTCTAACTCCTAGCCAGCCACTGGCCGCAATATCCCGACTCCTTTCAAAGAAACGAAAAGTTAAAAATTAGAGTATGAAACATTTTTATATAAATTACACGATGTAAGTAAAAAGTGGGAGATTCGTTGGCTTGGAAATTGAAACCTCATCATTCGGGGAGAAAAATTATGAAAGCTACACTCTATATCGCTAACAGAACCACAGTTACGGCGGTAGTATTTTGTTTAATGTCTCACTTTTAGTGCCTAGCATAATTTGCAATGTACCCACTCCTACAATCTCCTGCAAACTGACATATGCCTCCAGTTCTCTGGGTTAGGAGATAGTCCAATTCCCTGTAACACAGAACCTAAACCTTACCTTTTTTACTTAAGAGTCCATCTAGTTTCTATTTCAAAGGTGAAACCCCCAATCAAAAACCGAGATTGAATTAAATTGTCTTCCGCTCAGAAGTGTCCTTGTGCCTGACACGGAACCACAAATGTTTATGGAAGGATCGGTGTGAAAGCTATATGCCTTCTTAACAGCAACTCTGTATACTTGGGCGAGTGGTCAGCTTGACGCGTAGTAAATCCTCAAGAAATTATAAAATAAAACTAAACCTTTTTTCCTTCGAGTCCAGCCTAATTTCAAGTCGGAGCCAGAGGTTGTGATCCATTGCTGGCTGGTTTGGCCTGTCGGTCACAAATGTATATGGATCACTGATGAAGTGTTGCCTGGCAGGGATGAATTGAAGTAGTGCGAGAAATGTATTTCCCTGCATATGGGATACCCTGCAATTGTAGATGTAAGTATTCGCTGTCTGAATTTTTTTATTTATTTTTATAATTTGTTACTCATTTTACAAACTTGTTTCCTAGTTACTTATGAAGTTAAGAACCGGGTGTTCTGTTGACATCTTAAATATTCAGTCAGTTTGTTAGTGTATGTTTGTTTGTTTTTTGTGTCATAAAGCTTTGTGGACTTGTAGATAGACACAAACGTTCCACAGGAACATACCACTCCATCTTCCGTTCTGAAGACTGAAGCTGTATGTCCTTCCGAAACGTGGTGTTACAACCAGAAGACCAACGTCGACATATTCTCCGCCTTGAGAACCTCAAATCTCGTGTTTGCTCGTTGCTTAGTTACTCCGTCCTTCGTTCCTTAGTTTCGTAGCTAGTTACAACAATCATTTGTTGGTTGCTTGGTTCCACGCGCTGTAAGAGTGGCGCTGCCGGTGGCTTATCTCGAGTTCTGAACTGTGCTGCTGGTAGGAAACACTCTCCATTTATCTTCTTCACGCCTGACTGCTGCCAGTCTCCTCTGTAATATTTCTCTCCTATCACTCTTACTTTCCACCCACACACACCCCTCCACCCGCAACCCCATCTTTTTTGCATTATGTTTCCTATAGTCCATTTGGCAAAAATAAACTTTCTTTTTGTTTTATTGTTTCATGACGTAGCAAAATTATGCAGGCAGCAGATGTCAGTATAAAAGACTTCTTGGTCTTTCGATATTGCATTGTGCCACATAATACAGTTGCACTATACTTGGCTTTATATTAGTGTAAGCCGTAGGTTCGACATTGCCAATGAAACTGGTCACAGACACAAACGTATACATACCTATTTTGTCAGTAAGTCAACGTTATCTTTTAATTGTTGCTTCATGATCATCTATGTGGGCACATTCAAAATATATGTAAGATTTGAGGTTCTCACAGCGGTGAGTATGAAGATTTCTGTCTTCTGGGTTGTTGCGCTGTGTAGTTTGGTCGATGTTTGCCAACGTTTCAGAGGTCATACTGCCTCCGTCATCAGGGCGATGAGTCTTAAGATTACTGTCTTCTGGGTTGTTGCGCTGTGTAGTCTGGCCGATGTTTACCAACGTTTCAGTGGTCATACTTCCTCCGTCATCAGAGTATGAAGATTTCTGTCTTCTGAGTTGTTGCGCTGTGTAGTCTGGTCGGTGTTTACCAACGTTTCAGAGGTCATACTGCCTCCGTCATCAGGGCGATGAGTATGAAGATTTCTGTCTTCTGGGTTGTTGCGCTGTGTAGTCTGGTAGATGTTTACCAACGTGTCAGAGGTAATACTGCCTCCATCATCAAGGCGGTGAGTATGAAGATTTCTGTCTTCTGGGTTATTGCGCTGTGTAGTCTGGTAGATGTTTAACAACGTTTCTGAGGTCATACTGCCACCGTCATCAGGGACCAGACTACACAGCGCAACAACCCAGAAGACAGAAATCTTCACATTCAAAATACTTTGTACATTTTAAATCTAAAACTTCTTGACGATGGTGAAGAGTCAATTGAATAAAAATTTTCTTGGATATTATCCATCGTCTATTAGGTCTGGGTCCGGAGATAGGGATTAGCTCTATCTAGTGGGCCCAACTGTGTAGGAACCTGAAGACGGAGATAGAGTCCCATCTCCGAAACGTCGTTTTACGTTTTATATTTACTAGACGATGGATAATATCCAAGAAAATGTTTATTCAATTGTACATTTTCTCTTCTTACAAACTACATGCCCAACGCATCGTAACTAAAATATGAAAGCATTTTCGCCAATTTTGATTTAACCATAGCGTCTTGAGTTGAAATCTGCAAATGAACGTAGATTTTCGTTGCTGGGACCAGGGCGAAGTGTCGATGCGGAATTTGCGGTACGGGCTATAGAATCGGTATAGAATCCCACTTCTTTTATCGTGAGTCTTCACCCCTCCCCTTTTCGCGCTATTACCATATCCTCTCACAGTTTCGCTTCAAGTTCTCTCTTCACTTCCCTGTCAAACAGAGCCGGTGGCATGAGAAGAGGAACAGATTTGTTGCTATCTTCCGGGACTGCCTACCCCCCACTATTTTAACCCAATTTCTTATTCCTTTTTAATGAGAGACAGGTTTATGGCAGTGCAATATGTTTATGGTGTGATTGCCACACACCAAACGTTTCATGCGTTGTCAGAAATATGTTATTTGGTTTTGAATTTTGTGTTAAGTTACATGTTACGTTTAGTTTGCGCGATGTTTCAAAAGGTCACGTTAAAGAGTCAAGAGAAGGCAGTACAGACTTATTACGGATAATGCCATACACCAATGACGTACAGGTTTCAACACAAAGTGTCTCGTACATGGTAATGGATGTGTCGATAACTTTGAATGAATTGATGACAATACTTGAATCTTTGTATTAGAGCATAACTACCGTTGTACACTTTATTCCGTGTTATGAATTTGTTGTGGGGACGACAGAGGCTGCACTGAGGTACTCGAAATTTATAGTAGCGAAATTATTCGAAAAATGAGCAATTCTTATTCAAATATTTTTGGTCTTAAATGTGTGTTAGCAACATTACTATCGCACAAAATAAATGTTCTGCTCTGTAATCAGGAATAATAATACAGGCTATCATTGAAGGCTTTAAAGAAATATGTAAACATTGCAACTTTAAAGCCTAGTGATAAATATCTGCCAATTTGAGAATCTGTAAGTCTGCACTTTTTATGTTTATTTTTTATTTCTCACTGTTAACAACAATTATTTCCTTAAACAGAGTTCAAAAAACTGATTTTTGTTGTGGTCAAGTGTTGAGCTTTCTTTGTGGTACTGAGTTACTAAATGCAAGCAATGCAACACTGTAGATTACTTAGGTTGCGTAATGACGTATCAGAAATTACAGAAAGATTAGAAATTGTGATGTGTAACGCTATGCCAGAGGGAGATGTTCTTTCCTATTTTAAATTAGTTTTGCCAAAAACAACAAACAAATCAATGAACAGTTTATGAGGTTACAAAATGGATCAAAGCGTATCAAAACAAGAAAAGTTGTGGGCTTTTGTGTTATTGGTGTTGAACATTCTGGCTATAATATTATTCTGTTAATTACGCAACAGATAAGCCATTTTCGTTAACCCTTTGAAACCGAAGCCCTAAATAATATTTAAATATTTAAGAATCAAATCCTTACCGCGAAGAAAACACGAATATTTACCATTACAATGATCAACTGGTTAATGCTGTTTGAGAAAAAAATCTGTGTTTACGCTGAAAATCACTCGAAACCCATAAAAAAGGCGAGGTCGGTGATTGTTACGGGATTGAATATGAACGTGGTTTGAAATGAATGTTGGATTAGGCAGGAGATGATGCCATCTGGAAGTTCCTTTTACTGTAAGGTTTCAGTTGCTAAAATGACGTGACAGTTTTGTTGGTATAATGTGACGTAGTTCGACTACTCACATTCTATCGGCAGAAATAATAAAGATACTGAAATTTCTGATCTAAAATCCAACTTTTAAACTGAGTACATTTCTGTCAGAGTACTTTCCTCTGTCACTTACTTGGTCTGAATACTTTTATAACTGGTGCATTTCAGTGTCTGAGCAGAATTGTACAACATTTTACAGAAATCAAATATTTTCATCAATACAGCATAAATCTAGTGATTCTCAAAAGGGCGTCCGCAGACCTCTGGGGGTCCGTAAGTTGCGCCTAAGGGCTTTGAAAATCGAGTAGATTACAATATTTTATATACTATAATGTTTAAACTTTATTCATAATATTTTTATCTTTTTACATTAAAGTAGAAACTTAACAAAAAATAGACCTTCTATCCGTATTTATTTAGTCTGCCTTACATTTCATCAAAATGTATAAGATAATTTTGCGAAGGGGGTCTACTTCCTCTTGAGCCAATAGATACAACAGATGGGAGAACAGTATCCAAATATAATTATTTAAATTAATAATTTTCTTCTTCTCTCCCCGTACATTCTTACGTTATCCAATAAAAATACATCCTTCCAGTTGCCTGTCATCCAAAAACGATTGGCGATCTGTGCATAAACACCATCTTAATGACATATAAAATATGCTTGAATTATGTATTTTAAGTAACAGAAAGTTTCTGTTTAATATCACCACATTAAAGCCACCCATATGGCATATCCTTCACATAATACAATTGGTAAAGTCCCGTCATTACATTACACAAAGGAACCCCATCATGTATGTCCCCCCCTTAGGCCCTCTCCACCACATTTCATAGAATCAATCCGACATCACTCATTCTCATTCACACACACACACACATCACCACAAATCAGTAATTCGTATCCTTGGCCCCCTTTCCACTTTCCACGATACAATATCCATGCAAATTTCAATTAGGAAATTTCTCTCTTCAATATTCTGCTTCATTCGAAACCCTTCATCACTCCAATAACAATACAACCCCACACTACAGACTGGCCTAGAACCTCTCTTTTGTATATTTAAGAGTAGCGTCTACTTAATTAGGACTATACTGTGGCGTGTGTTAAAGTTATGTCACAAAAAGGCGTCAGCAGAGGCTTAAGTATTGACTTCATCTGTTCTTGCAGCAAATTTCGTTGCAGTCATTAGCATATTAGCCTATAAAATCTCAATTACACGTTGGGGTGTGGTCTGGAAGCGACTAAATTAACAGTAACTCCAAGACCAGCAGAAGGACCGGGTGAGAAAGATACAAGTAGAGAATTATTGATGCTTATTATCGCCGGGGAAAGGAGACAGAGATGTTTCTTCTGGCGTTTTATATTATTTAGCATTAAAGCCTTCATCGCCTCTTCCCTTTCGTGTATCTTCTTCATGTCCCCTTCTTCCGACTTTCCGAAATAGATTTTGTATGTAAAAGAAGAAAACTTTATAGCAAGAAGCTTAATGGAGGTAAGATAAAACGGACGTCGTTTGCTTGTAAAGAGGATGGGATGTACCAAGGTGGTGGGAGAGGAGAAAGGCGAAATTGTTCAGAGCATTCTTTAGCCAGCTAATTAAAATCTGCTCAAACTAAACAACAAGATAACTTCTTTTACCGATTTTCTTTACTCCCTCCTGTCTTCTAAGATATTTTATTTTCTGTACCACGAGACTGAAGTATGAGGTGTAAGCTGCTTTGAGTGTCGTCATCATTAAACCTTGTTTCTTTCGTAATTCTTATCTCGGTTGCTGTAGTGATGGCAGAGGAGTGAGGTGGGGTGGGGAGAGTTCTAATCTGAGAATATAGTTCGGCTGAAGGAAAGCAAGAAAGAAGAACATTTGCGTAATAAGAGGTTCCCTGCCCGGATTCATTCAGAAAATTGAGAAGCCTGCTCTACTGTCCAATTTCTTACTCCAGAAGACAGAGCACCAAAATGGCAGGGTGACTGTTACCTACTTTCGGTGCGGAGGAAAGTCGACTACATAATTACAAACGTCCGAGTGACTTAACCACAAAAACTGGTATAAACGAATTATGTTTGGTTTTTGCATTTCCCTGTATGTGTTTTGCCTATATCTGTAGTAAGAAAGTAACAGGGAAATACTGTTTGAAGTACTACGTTTTGGGATCTTTGACAAGGATTTGTGTACGATGAAGACCTAAGACTGGAAGCAGTATTTTAATGCTTCAAAGTGAATTTCGTAACCACAATGTCAATGAAGCTGCATAGAATATTCCATGAGAAGCAGAGATAAACAGGGAACATTCACGTCATGAAGTCTAATATCTTACACATACTCAACAACATAACTGTCGATAATGATAGAAGTTGTGGAAAGATGTTTAGAATTTATAGAAAGGTAACATACACGTTTCCTATAATTCTAATTAACTATGTTTTGCACTAACGATCTTTGACAATGCCCTTACGAGCACAAAGCATACAAATTCGATTCCAAGTTTATCC